AATGTATGTAATTGCCGAACCATATGTTAAAATATGTGGATGTATGGGCCAAAGGCCTTTCAAATCAATAAATCATTTTGAATCTTTGAATCTGTTGGTTGTATGTATGTATGATATATAGATGAAGCAGAAACTGGGAATTAAGTTCTCCTGTATGTTGGAGTATCTTTCTCTCTGTTTATCTGTTGATTGTTGGACACATGTATCCATAGGTGAAGCAGAAATCATAATTAGGTTCCTAAGAGGGATCTTTTGTTTGAAGGAAAGATGCTCGCCGCTCGTGCCGAGGTATCTGGTTTGTTTCTGGTATGGGCAGGGGTGATCCGGTGAAGACTTTGGCCTGAGTTCAAAAAGAAAAAGAATTAATCTTTGTTTCTAGTTTATTGAAACAAATGAATAAAACTTTTCATAGTGAAGAGGTTGACAGCTCTAATGAAATGTAATAACTTTGGTGAACCTGAAAATGATCTATCTTTTTATTTTCTCATGAAAACCAAATATTTTAGAAATTCATTATTTCTTAGAAGATAAAATCTTTGACTAGATTTATGGCTGGATGCAAGACTCGGACAAGTGCTGTTTTGCAATTTGATATTTGTGGGGAGTCTTGCACCCAGCTATGGAAATGTACATGAAAGCTGTGCTGTAGTTCACTGTCTTGATGAAATGTTTCAGGATGCTTTTGGGGTTAATTTTGATGACCCTCGCTGGAAAGACCATCTGAATGCTTTGAAACCTATGGTGAGTCTTTTTTTTTTTGTAGGGTCTATTTCAAAGTACTTTACAGACAGTAGCTCTCCTTTCTCCTATTACTCTGGTGTTTTAGTTGATGACACGGTTTTTTAAAAATTCTTGCATTTCTTATGTTGCTAGCTTGCTTTTCATTTATAAGGTCAGCTAAGACGATACTTTATTGTTCCTGCGGAGTGGCGTCGGTAGCCTAGTGGTTAGGCTACCGGACTCGTAATCGTGAGATTGTGGGTTCGGGGGTTCGAGCCTCAGCTCGATCCAACGTTGTGTCCTTGGTAAAGGCACTTTACACGAACTTCGCACTTGGCTCGGTCCTATCGGAGACGGACGTTAAACTAGGAGGTCCCACCTCTTAAATAACCTAATAGTGTTGATAGGGGCGTTAAACCTGTACCATTTTTTTGTTTCTGCGGGAAATTTTTCTTGGCTGTACAGAAATGGTATTCTTAGTGTTGTTTGTTGGGCCATTCCATGACAAATGAGACTGCAGTGGCACACGTAGCGCGATGGTGACCCCCATTTAGAATTTGAATTTTGACAAAATATTTCTTGAACACTTGCAGCAACAGATACAACAGATTATAAGAAGTCGCAATTTTTAACACGGGTCAAAATTTCGGGCACAGTACAACTGATCTACTGGCTGATAATGT